AATATTTGAAGAAAAATCAGATTTAGAAGAAACGTCTAGTGATGACGAATAAAAATAAGAATAAAAAGTTTAAGGACTTGTTTTGCAATAAATGCCCCATTTCCTTAAGGGTAAAATTGACTTTTTAACAAAAATTTTAAAAAACTACTATTCATAGGTCATTTTGCAAAATCTCCCATTCATCTTCTCCACTCACCACCCTACCCCAAAACCAAAAACCACCAAAACCGTCGGCACCCACCTAGCGTCACCACCACCAAAATCTTCGGGAGCACTACCAAAATTGTTGACGACCCAACCGAGATCCATTCAAACCTTCATCTCTATCTAAAACAAGATGAAAGTTTCTCTATTTATTTTTGTATTGTTCTTCACAATTACTCCAGTTTCAGCCCATTTCTTCCCCAACATTACTTCAATTCCAATTTCTTTGATCCCAAATACAACACAATGGGACGGTTTTAACTAGTTTTTGGGATCCCACATGGGTCAAAAAGTAAAAGTATTAGCAAAACTCAAGAACTGCTTTCAACGATTTGGGTATATTAGTTCTTCTTCATCCCCAAATTTTATAGATGATTTTGTTAAAATTCTTGAATCGGCAGCCAAAATGTATCAAATCAACTTCAATCTGAACAGCACACATGATGAACTGGATGCACAAACGTTGAAGCACAGTGTACTACCCAGAAGCGGAAATCCTGATGTTATCAATGGCACCTCAACAATGAATTCTAGTAAACCCAAGTCGAATTCTATGATTCAAACAGTGGGTCGGAAATCCATTGCCACCACTTGCTCCTACACAGTGTATTAGCAGATAGGGTTTTTCCTTGTCAAAAAGCCATTCAGAATCCTCTGAAACTTGATTTGCAATCAATTGAATCGATTGAAAATGGGGCTAGATTGAAAATTGTGGAGACGATTGCTCAAGTCAATTGGGTCGATGGTTTTGTGGTGGTGTCAACGATTTTGGTGATGGTGATGCTTGGGGAGTGGGGGTTTTGGTGATTTTTGGTTTTGGTATGGGTGGCGATGAGTGGAGAGGATGAACAGTGTTTTTTTAAATTTAATTCTTTTATTTTAATCTTTTTTATATTAAAAATATAAAGTTACTTTTTTGTCCTTTAAAAATTAGTCAATATTCTTTCACGTTTGATTTTTGGTCATTAATAGAGAAACTGACGTTTCAGTTAGTTTGCACTTCAAATGTGAGTTTTTGTAAACAATTTTTCAAATATGCATTTTTTCAAAACATTTTTATTTTTATTTTTTTTAAAAAAAAGATAACCCTCCTCCTTTATCCGGGTTTGGGATCGGCTACTTCAATTTCGAGTATGCG